CGCCGAAGGCCTGCTTATATTAGATCCCAACTGAAATTTACTTGCGAGTCAGTCTTACTATTATGCGCCGCCTAGCGGCGTCGTTGCATATTTCTCTGAAATGTTTCGTAATATTTCAGTGAAAAGGGTCATAAATGATTTCGATGAAACGTTTCAGAAATACTTCTGAATGATTTTAATGTTACATTTTAATATTAATTGCCAAGTTATCTTTTGGAAAGCTTTCAGTGATATATGATTTTCATAAAACGTTTCAGAAATATTTCTGAATGATTTCAATTATACATTTCAATATTAATTTTCAAGTTATCTTTCGGAAAGCTTTCTGAAACAAGTTTTGTGTGGGTTATATTTATATTGAGAAGTGGTAAAATCTCTTCCGTCAGGAAGAGAATGTAAAGAATTATTAACGGAGGTGTTCTGATTTAAAAGATCTTTAAAATATATTAAATTAAGTAATAAAGAGCATCGAGCCGTAACGGGATGTAAGTGTTAAATATATTAAATGTATTACAAAATTACAGACGTTTCGGTTCTAAAAAACATTGAACCATCCTCAGTGTCTATTTTAAAGCAATAAACATTAGCGCTATCGTATAATTAAAATTAAAATAAGACGCAGACGACAACGTTGGTATCGTACGCATCGCTGTAAATAAAATTTCCTCAAATTAAAATACGCCGTGTCGTTAACAATCATTCTAATATAAAATACGTACAATTTGATGGTCTGTGGAGAGAACGCTTTGTAAGGTCGACATTGTTAATTTCGTGGCTGGTGTGTTAGTTTTGCAAGAGAGTAACAGACTATCGGGTGGCGCACGAACGAAACCGATTATACAGACAAAAAGGAATAGGAAGGGGGGGAAAGGGAAAAAACTATAGTGGGAGCAAGAAATTAAGGAGGGAGCAAATGAAGAACCGGAAGATATTCCTCGGGAAGAGACTCCGTGTCCTTTTGTTTGTTAAGCGGGGATAACTGTCTCTTTATATGTATCATTTCTGACGTGAGTCTCCTCCCCAGTGACCGCTCAACGTTTAAAATTTCAACACCCTCCCAATCAAACTTGTAGTCAGTCTGAAATTTATGGGCTGTAATTACCGAAAGGGAGCGAGGATTTCTTTTAAAATCCATTTTATGTTCTTTCACCCTGGTTTTTAATTGCTTTTTCGTCTGTCCCACATAGGAAACCTCACAGTCCCTACATGGGATTTTATAAACGACCTGACTGAGAAAGCTTGTCAAGGTTGTCTTTTCCCGTCCTAATGAATCTTTTAAGGGGGTGTGCAACCAAAAAGGCAATCTCTGCAGTTTTGACAAATTTTTTAAATTTTTCCGACGTAGCTTTCACATAGGGAACGGTGAAATATTTTATATTGTCCGATTCAATCGATCTTCTTTTTTTCAGAGCAAACACTTTTACATTTAATATATTTAACACTTACATCCCGTTACGGCTCGATGCTCTTTATTTCTATAATATAATTTTTAATTTTGTGAGCCTTTTTAGATTATATTTAAAATATATATTTTTCAGGAACTTTTTATAGGGAAACGAAAAAAGTGAATAACGTTAAACTTTGCATGTTCTCTTGACCTTATTTTAAAAATTTATTTTTATTTTTTAAGTAACAAAAATGCTCTTTTTTCTGTTATATTCTGGTCACCATAAATGACAGACGGTGTAAATAATTCTAGCTGTTCTAGGTATCTGAAACGCAAAAAGCTAAAATTTTCTTATTCAGAAGTATATGTGGCTATCGTTTGAACTAGAACTAAACTAATATTTCCATTCTAGGTTCTAGGCGGCCTTTTTATCAAAAATATTATTAATCAATATTAAATAAACCATTTACGATCTGAGCTTAGATTATATAGTAGCCTAATAATATATTTTATATACTATATTTACATATTTTTTCAATTTTAATCAACTACGCGCCGACTAACTTGTCAGACTTACAACACAGCTCCTATTGGATTAATAAAATCCCTTCACACCCCTCTAATTAAATCGATTTAAATAATAGTAAAGAATTTACTACTCCAACAGGAGCTGTGTTGTAAATCTGACAAGTTAGTCGGCGCGCAATTTATTAAGATTGGAAAAAATGCGTGTAATACACAAAAAATATTATTAGGCTATTAAGATCCAAGCTCGGATCGTACACTGCTTATTTAATATTGATTGATTGTATAACGGTCATAAAACGGTCTTATTTCTCTTATATTATTAAAAATATTATAACTTTTTCCAAAATTTTGTTAATATTTTATTAAAAGAAAAAACTAATAAACGTATAATATATATGTTTATTATTCTAGTTCAGACAATAGCCACACTTATTCTGAATAAGAATATTTTTGGTTTTTGGGTTTATGATACCTATAGAACAGCTAAATCATTTACTCTGTCTGTCATTTATACCTTCTAGTGATCAGGATATAACATAGAAAAGAAGAGCATTTTTCTTACTTAAAAAATAAAAATATATTCTTAAAATAAGGTTAAAAAACATGCAAAGTTTAACGTTATTCGCTTTCTTTGTTCCCCTATAAAAAATTCCTATGTATGAAAAATACTTATTTTTAAAACCTTTCAAACCAGAATACGCCCTTAATTTATTATTTGTTATTAATATTGTAAGATTAATGTTGCGCCGTGCTTGAGTAGACCGTAAGGTGTGATTGGTCGCTTGAGATACTGGTATGCGCTGTAGCGCTCTGCGCAAGAAGAAACGCCCGGATTGGCGAAGAGCAAGGAAGACGAGTCAGTCGATGCACAGACGTTGGATTGAGTAGGCGTCTTGTTGCATCTTGCCGTGAAATAAAGTTACCTTTTCCATATTTATAACAAATTATTGTCTCTCACCCATCTACATCCATTCCTGACATTTCTCCGTGTAACTCGCGGTTAGTGCCGTTAAAATCGGTGCGTCAAAATTAATAACTTTACAGTTCAGAAGTGGGATATTAATCGTGTACCGCCATTATCGTGAAACGATTCGGCTTGCTACTGATTTCCCTTTTCCTTCTGTCCTCATTCCTTTGCTCGGACGAGTAATAAATACAGCGTGCAAGGCTGTAATCGACATTCGAGTACGGTATTTCCGGCCAGTTATCCCGTGAAAAAATATCGGGTCAACGACCGTTATTGTAATCGCGATGTTCAAGTGAGAGACATTATCCCGTCGTAACGACGTTAAGGAACATTAAAGAGCATTGATATTGTGGATCGGTGACCAGAGATATCGGTCTGTCACGTTACAAATTGACATAATTCCGAGTGAGAAATTACGTCTCGAACGTTCTCGAACGGTTTCCCCGCCATTTTGGGTGCAGAATTCAACCGCCATCTTAGTACGAACGAACATTCTCGAGCGGTCTCCCGCCATTTGATACGTCTCGAATATTCTCGTGCGTCTCCCGCCATTTTATTGTGCCGTGTTGCCGCCATTTGAGTGTGCTCGAACAATATCACGCAGTATTAGTGTGTTCAAACATTTATCGTTCATCACGGAAGATCAGTCGTTTATATTCAAGAAAATATGGAGCGGCAACGATTAGAAAAATTATCTGTGAGTGAACTGCAAGACGAAGCCAAGCAATATGGGCTAAATCCTCCGGGTGATGCATTGCGTTGTATAGACATGATCATGTCTCATTTGGAGAGACAAGCCACGTCGGATCTTCAGAAAAGAGAAACGCGTGCAGCCACTAAAAGTAAGGCGATGCAATCAACAGTCGCAGCGACGACGCCGACAGGATCATCCGATCTATCTCAAATCTGTGCTTGGATGGCAGAACAAATGCGTATCCAGCAGAAGGATAAGCAAGAACAAAGGCGTTTCCAGCAAGAGCAAATGCGTATCCAGCAAGAGGAGAAGCAAGAACAGAGGCGCATCCAGCAAGAGGATAAGCAAGAACAAAGGCGTATCCAGCAAGAACAAATGCTTATCCAGCAAGAATTTCAACAAGAACAAGCTCGAAACCAGCAGGAACAGCAGCGTCAAAATCAGGCTATGATGCAGCAGATGATTGAATTAATGAATTCGTCTCGTGAGGACTCTCAAAATAGAGTGCGTAATGTGTCAAATGAAGACAATGTGGTGCGTGTGGATTCCGGTGTATCAGTTACACATCGCCAGCCGATCTCCTCGATGGCAACCGCGCACGCAGTTAAAATGTTGTCCGGTCAAATTCCAGAATTTGCTGGAACGGATGAAGACAATGTTGAAATTTGGATTCAAACTGGAGAACGTATTGCTCAGATCCATGCCGTCACGGAAGATGTGTTACTTTTGGCAGCTTCTGGAAGATTAATTAAAAATGCGAAGAGATGGTTTGATCTTAACGTAACAACGTTAATTGAATCGTGGCAGATATTTAAGGAAGCCATAATACGCCGTTTTAAACGTGAAATTTTATTTCATGTTGCGATGCAAAAAGTTGAAGCAAGAAGATGGAATTACCAAAAAGAACAATTTTAAGACTATGCAATGGACAAGTTAGTGCTAATAAAAAATTTAAATTTACCAGAAAAAGATACCATACATCTATTGATTAGTGGTATTGGGAGCCGGTCATTGAAAGAAGTAGCGGCTGCATTAAATAGTAAATCCATTGATGAATTCCTTGAACAGATGCATCGAATAACGTCAGTATCAGCCGAGCCTACTCGCAAGATTTTTCACAAAGATGATAAACAAGAAAAAACGAAGGATAATAGTGGCTCAGGGTCCAAGGACAATTCAGTGGTGAAAACGGACAAAGATGTGTTTTGTGTTTACTGCAAGGCAAAAGGACATGTCCTCGCTGACTGTTTCAAATTGAAGAAGAAGGAGCAGTCGCCTGCTATGACGACTACCAAACCAATGCCGGTGGTATCTGCGGTGGATGAAGATGTTCAGGAGATGGAGATTGCAGCGGTGGATGAAGATTCTGGTAGGAAGTTAGAAATTACTGATTCGCGTATTGTTGTAACGTCGATAAACAAAATTTCATGTAAAATGATTGCATTGGTGGACACTGGAAGTCCTGTATCTTTTATTAAATCTTCGGTTCTCGCAAGATTGCCAGATATTAGTATAGAAAAAGATAAAAAGGTAAAACGATATAAAGCGGTAAATGATACTTGTATTAATGTGGTAGGATCTGTCCAAACAGTGATTTCTCTAGAATTGTTACCGAATTTAAATGCATCAATTTCCTTTTTGGTGTTAAGGGATGACACATTTTCGTCAGATTTGATTATTGGTTTAGATTTTCTTAAGGAGTATAATATTTCAATTATATGTAAACCATCTGGTATTGAACTAAATAATCGCATTCAATTATTTCAAGAGATAGTTTCTACAGAAGTTGTTGAAGATGAATCTGAAGACGTGCTGTTATTATTGCAAGAGATCGATATCGATTTTGATGAATTGTATAAACAAGAATTAATTTCGATGATGCAAGAGATTGAGAGTTCGGATATACCATTGATTGATGATAATTATTCAATAAAAGTTTCCCTTAAAGATGATTCCGTTTTTGCATATGCTCCCAGACGATTTGCTTGGTCTGAAAGAGAGCAGCTTAGAGAGATCACTGATGATTTATTGCGTCGTGGTATCATTAAGCGTAGTAATTTCCCGTATTGCGCGCGTGTAGTATTAGTGCGTAAAAAAGACGGATCTTTACGAATGTGTATTGATTTACGTCCGCTCAACCAAAGAGTAAATAAACAATGTTTTCCTTTTCCAGTAATAGAGGATTGCATAGCGCGTATTGGTAATAGAAAAGTATTTACGACATTAGATTTAAAAGATGCCTTTCACCAGATTAAAGTTCATCCTGAACATACGAAATACTTTGCTTTTGCGACTCCGGATGGTCAATTTGAACAATTATATATGCCGTTCGGATGGTGTGAATCAGCGGCAGAATTTCAAAAACGTTTATCGCAATTATTAGAAAGATTAATCAGGCTGAATATGCTTATCGTATATATGGATGATGTAATTATTCCTTCTGATACGCCAGAAGAAAATATTAGTGTCCTAAAAGAAGTTCTTATAATTTTTAAAAGTTATGGTTTTAAATTAAATTTAAAAAAATGTAACTTTTTGAGAATATCAGTCGAATATTTAGGATATGTTATATCCCCAGAAGGGATAACTATTAGTTTCTGACATACAGAGGCAGTTAGAAATTTTCCTGAACCTAAAAAAGTTATTGAAGTGCAAAGGTTTTTGGGTTTAACCAATTATTTTAGAAAGTTTGTAAAGGATTACGCTGTTAAGGCTAGACCATTGCAAAAGCTTTTGCACAAAAACGTAGAGTTTGAATTCGATAAAGAATGTCATAATGCTTTCGAGTTATTGAAACAGGATTTAACGTTGTACCCTGTTTTACGAATATATAATCCGAAGGCGGAAACGCAACTTCATACAGATGCGAGTGCCATTGCAATAGCAGCTATTTTATTGCAGAAGCAAGAAAATAGTCAATGGGCTCCGGTAGCCTATTTCAGTCAGTCAACTAACAAGGCTGAAGCTAATTATCATAGCTTTGAATTAGAGATGTTGGCAATGGTAAAGGCAGTAGGCACGATGGCATATATATTTGTATGGAATCGAATTTGTAATAATAACTGATTGCAATGCACTGGTGTTCGCAATGAAGAAAGCGAATATTAATCCAAGAATTGCTCGATGGTCTCTCCGTTTACAAAAATACAATTTTGGAATTTTACATCGAGAAGGTAAACGGATGGCTCATGTGGATGCATTAAGTAGGGCTGTTGCATATATAGAACCAATGCCTCTTGAAAGAGAGCTAGAATATAAGCAGCAATGTGATGTTCGATTAAAGGATATTGCGAAAAAATTAGAATTTGAGGATAGTGAAAAATTTACGTTGATAGATGGACTTGTCTTTCGTAAAGAAAAGGATAAACCTAGATTCGTAATTCCAGAAGTTATGATAAATAACGTTATTCGGGTATATCATGACGATATGGCGCATTGTGGCGTCGAGAAAACCTTCCAAGATATATACGTAAATTATTGGTGTCCTTCGTTACGAAAGAAAGTAATAGATTATATAGATAACTGTTTGACTTGTTTGATGACAAATGCGTCTGTTAATACTCGCAAAGGTGAATTACAAATAGTAGATAACCCTGAATCCCCGTGTCAAATTTGGCATACAGATCATTTTGGCCCAATCTCAGAGTCAGTCGAAGGATTCAAACATATTTTGTTAATAATAGATGAGTTTACGCGATTTACTTGGTTGTTTCCCGTCAAGTCTACCAGTTCAAGAGAAACTATGAAACATTTGGAAGGGTTGTTTAACACATTTGGAAAACCAAGTATTTTAGTGTCGGATAGAGGTACAGCATTTACTTCGAATGAATTTTTAGAATTTATGCAAGTTCGTAATATCAAGCATCGTCAAGTTGCTGTTGCTGCTCCATGGGCGAATGGCATAGTAGAGAGAGTTAATAGATTTTTAAAAGCATGTCTTAAAAGAATTGTTGAGGAACAACAATCATGGTGTTCTGCAATTGGATCTATCTAATATGTGATAAACAATACATTTCACTCTTCGGTGAAGGCTTCTCCTTCAAAATTACTTTTTGGGTATGAGCAACAGAATCACTCGGATAAGGAGTTGGTTAAAACGTTAAATCAGTTGGCTGAAGTTGAATTAAAAGTGTCGGATGAACGAGATATCGCTCGTAAATTGGCTGTAGAAGTAACTGATAAAATAAAGAATTATAATAAGGCTTATTACGATAAACAACATAAAAAACCAACTCAGTATAAAGAGGGAGATTATGTTATGATAAGAGATACTGTAATAAAACCCGGTGAAGATAAGAAATTAAAGCCGTGCTATAAGGGTCCGTATATGGTTACAAAGGCCTTAAATAATAATAGATATGTGATTCAGGATATTCCAGGTTTCAATGTGACCTCCAGGCCTTATAACTCTATACTTTCCCCAGATAGATTAAAGCATTGGATAAAACAACCAGAGTCATAACTTTGTTAGATTAAAGATTTTAAAAGCGTTGTTTTATGAGATAATTGTAAGTTTAAATAGTTTAAGTTTTGCGTGCGGTTAGATTTAAGGTTGCCGTACTATAAAAAAGAAAAGTTTAAATAATTAATAAAATAATAATATTGTGGTTTATGTTAAAGAATAAGTAAAAGTTTATGCAAATAGTTTAAGTTGTATTGAAATTGTATTACTAGAGCATATTTTATTTTTGTTTTTGAAATTTAATTTCCGTTAAGACATTCGGGACGAATGTATTCGCAGAATGGCCGAACTGTAAGATTAATGTTGCGCCGTGCTTGAGTAGACCGTAAGGTGTGATTGGTCGCTTGAGATACTGGTATGCGCTGTAGCGCTCTGCGCAAGAAGAAACGCCCGGATTGGCGAAGAGCGAGAAAGACGAGTCAGTCGATGCACAGACGTTGGATTGAGTAGGCGTCTTGTTGCATCTTGCCGTGAAATAAAGTTACCTTTTCCATATTTATAACAAATTATTGTCTCTCACCCATCTACATCCATTCCTGACATTTCCCCGTGTAACTCGCGGTTAGTGCCGTTAAAATCGGTGCGTCAAAATTAATAATTTTACAATATATTGTTATTAATTATATACATGTAAGTATTAGAAAGCATATGGTATAAAATAATTTCAATATTCAAATTATTGTAATAATAATAAAGAAATCAATTATCTACATTTTCTTCTGTGTGTGTATGTGTGATGTTATCGATAATAGTTTTTTTGCACGTTTACATTTTTTTGAAGATTTTTTACACGCTTAATTTTCACAAGTGTGATACCAAATACAGACAAGATTTTTGTTTATTTTTTATAAGCGTTATTTTGAATGCAAGATTTTAATAATCAACCCATACAGCATAGAAACTTGCAGTATCATTGCAGAAACGTTGCAATATTGCAGATTGCGCTGCAATATCACAGCAACATTGTAGATATTAATTATTGTAATATTTAATACATATTACAGCGCAAGATAGTAGCAAGATTGTAGAAATCTTGCAGCATTATTGCAAAAATACTAAAAAAAAAAACGCGTAACTATATAATATATATTTGCTTTGATAAAAAATAAACTGATTTTTCAGGTGTAGAAATGTACATCAATCACTATCACACGTGATTATTATCATTTCCAGTAATAACTTCGGAGTGTTCGCGTCGCATATATCGCGCGTGCGCGCTGCGCGGAAAAGATGATCGGTGACTGTCCAGATTGTTGTGCTTCCAGAGGCTTCTCCCGCGCATTGTTCGTTCGTCTCGTGTAGAGCCGAGTAATTGTGTGCAATATTATTATAATTACAGGTAATTATACACCAGTTTAGGGGCCTCACCTCAAATATCGATGAACTTATGCTCAATGCGACACTTTTTTTTGCCAGATTCTTTTGTTTCGTGCAAAAACGCGTCGATTGCGTT